CCTTCAAAAGCTCTCCACTCCCTCAAAGGTTTTGCTTCGTATTGTGCTACCACTGCCCTTTGAAATTAAATCTGTTTTGCTTCCCCACAGCATTAGTAAAAGAAAAGAAAAGTAGTATTTTAAAATTTTGGAGAGGAGAGGAGAGGAGACAGGGAAATACCAGCGGAACTTAATTCAAAGTGGCTTTAAAGATAAGTTTGATACGTAGGAAAAGCAGGGGGGTAGGGTTGAAACTGCAGATGAAATCTGGCCAGTACTTTCGGGCTTATTAATAAAACATGATACCGTAGTTGGTTTATGTGTGAGGAAGACTCCTTGTGCCATCTCAGAAATCCCAAATAAAACATGATTTTTACCTGTACTTACAAGAGGACTGTATGTACTCAGATGCCGTGGGCTGTGTCCTCTGCTTTTCCAAACTCTGACTGATCTGCATCAGAGCCTACGAAGTGCTGCTCTGTCAGAACAGCCTCACCTAACAGCCACGGCACATTAGCTCACTGACTTCTCATGGGCAGAAATTAGTTCATATAACACAGGACACTCAGGAATCAGTTCGTGGTATTAACATTTCTGTTTGTATTCATAAAAGCTGTATTTTGTATTTCATTATATTTATTTAACCTTTGACATCTAAGCTCTGGGTCAGTTTGCTCTTTATAACAATGCATTTCTTATTCAGTTTTGTTTCTATATTTAGAGAACTCATGCTCAGAAACAAGAGGGTTTTTTCACTCCTCCCCCCATATCCCCCCCCAGTATATTTAATCTAGCTCAGTTAGGGTGTTTCTGTGCAACCTATAATTTACTCTGCCAACTCAGATAGTATATTGCTGCTTTTACCACAGTTAAAGAACCACTGTCGTCCTTTTCAAAGGTTTTTTAGTCTTCAGCATGTTCTTCACTATCTCATATGCAGTCCATATGTAGTAAAATACAGCCATTTTTACTGCAAATAATATTATTTTTCTCTCTGTCTCTTCTCCTATAATTTTTCCTCTACCATCATTTTTGGCAATGGAGCTGAAACAAATATACCCTTCACTGACAATCCAGTATACAACTCCCTGCATGTCAGCAAGAATGCAGAGAGCTCTAAGAATAGCACATTTGGTTCCTACAGTGCAAGTGGAGCTCAGAAATGCACACTGTCCCCCACCCAAACAATGGCTATTTACTAGCTACGTCCCCCCAACAAAACAAGCTTTTAAGGTGTGTTTTGGTTTTCAACATTTTACAGACAGAGCAGTGGGCAACACTGCTCTCCTCCCTGAGACTCGCCAATTTTAACTCGTCAGACTTGGGCTTGGAAAAGCAATAGCCACCCAAAGGTTTCTTTTATTCCAGCCTGATTTAAGCTGCAAAGATCACTGGCCCATGTTCCTGCCTTCAAGCGAACCCTCCTTTCCATTCAGAGCCACGTGTCTGCGCTGGTATCGGCGGGAGTAACAGAAGAGCTCTGCTGGAAGCGGTGATGTTGGGTCACCGCTGCTGAAGGTATAATCGGCTCCAATACACCTGACATGCCAGGATAGAGGAGCTGCAAGTACAAACTGTATTTAGGCATGACAATCAGGGAGATGCCCAACCATTCAACCTGCCTGTGCAGATGCAGCTTTTCATGCACCCAGAAACAGCCAATAACGTCAAGTGGCTACGCTTAAGCCCAGAAAACGAGTGCGATAGTTTTGGAGACTGACTCTGGCATTTACTACCATCTTTATATTGTGGATTTATGAGCCCAGACCTTTGAGTATAATTTCACTCAGCAAGTATCAGTCCTAGATGAGTAAAATGAAAACCTGCACATACCCACACGAGCCATGTTAGCCCCACAAGGCTTTGGTACATCGCACAATGCAAACTGTCAGTGCCTCAATCGATATCCGTCACTGCTCAACAATAAAGACAGAGCACTTCAGATAGGAAAAGATTAGCCCTTATCAGATTTACCAGTTGTACAGGCAATACAGGATCTGGGAGGCAGACTGATTACACTTAAGAGATATATCCTGAAGTACAAAAATGGGAGAGCTGTGAGGCGACACGAGTAGCCCCAGGTTTTGGAATGTGGAGTCTTTGCTTTAATAGGCGTTTAAACCACAGCAAAAAGCTCACTCTGGGTCTATGTTCCAGGCGCTGCTCTCTTCCCCATGTTGCTCTGCCTGCTACAAGGATCAAATTTCATGGTTTATTGTTCTCCCTCCAACTGGACACCATCCACATTCTTCTTTTCTATAAAGCTGCACCTCTTGCTCAAAAGAAGAGGGTACTATGTCTTCTTTCTATAAATTTTAGTCACATTTACAAACACACACATTGAGTAAGGAGATGACTTTAAAACATTAAACAACATTCCAGGGAATGCTGTTGTTTTCTTTGAGTAAATTTCTTTGAATGATGCTAAAAAAGGCAATTTTCCACTACAAGTTTATTAACTTTTGAAGACACAGAGTTGTCTCCCCCATCATCTGAATCTTTAACATTTTGCCTTTTAATGAAACAACTGCTCCATGCTTGAAAAGTCCTATTCATCACCTGCCTCGGGAGAGAATGGGCACTGGGATTCTGCTAAGCTCAAATTCACCTCTCAGGTACTCTGCTGGCAATCAAAATCACAGTCGCTTGGAGCTACTTTGCCATAATGGAGTAAAATTGGTACACAGCAGGTTGGGTCCAAAATTTCAGTATCAATGTTTCAATGTAAATAAGAAATCTATTGCAGACAAATAACACATCTACATGCTAGAGTCAAAGAAACGCAGCAACTATCCCAGAATTTTAACATTTCCTACCTAGAGTATGGTTTCATGTCATTTTTCTTTTAATTCAGCACTCAGTATCCATTTTCTTCTATGAGATTTGCGGTAAAATTATCAAAACCTAACAAAATGCTCTACTCCTGACCATCCACCATCTTTCTTCGGCAGCTCAACAGACTGTAATGCTGAAGCACTGTCATCTGGTGCATAATTACTGTAGAAAGTCTTACTTGTAAAATGAGGGAGGCACCATCCAGCTTACCTAACGAGTCTGAAAATGTAAAATGCTCATCACCTGTAATCATTGTCTTAACTCTCCCTGATCTTTACTGATAGATGCTAAATTATAACAACTCTCTCTCTGATGGTGAGAATCAGCTAAAAATGCAGCACAGGCATAGCACTAGGAAAGTTGCTGGAAGAGGGGCTATTTTTGCCAACTAGACTCACTGCAGAAATTTTTCTCTCTTTTTTTTTACTCATCTATCATGTAGGGGTTTCAGAGGTTTCAGAAGACAAAGATGCAAAGCAGGGAAAACTAGGGCACAGGAAACCTCAGGAATCCAACATGAACGTTGCGATTCCACACACCCGGGAAGGGCAGGACAAACCCCATATATGCTCAAAGGTTATGGACGTACAATCAAAAGCAATCATGTTACTGCAGTTTAACAACTTACCAGCCAAGATGATGCCTCCAGAGTAAAACACCTGATGGGGAGTAATTCACGAAGCTGCAGCAACTTACTCACTTTCAATCCTATGTCCATCCATGCACCTAGTTCCCAAGCCAGCAAGGTGCCCTACTTCGTGTTTAATCTGGGTCCCATTCGACACAAACAGGGTCTTAAAGCAACATAATTGCTTCAGGCCCTGGTTGAATTAGGGCCTCATATTGATCACCCTTTAAAGTGAACTATATATGCCATATGGTTACATGTTATATATTTGCATAAGCAAATTCAGCAAGTCACCAGTCCTTCCCAGCTGTCTGTTTTAAGCTGGCAAGCGAGCAAGTACTGAGCATGCACAACGGAAAAGAGTGAGTCGATCCCAAAGTGGCACAGCACCTCATGGATTTACTACTAAGAAGCTGACATTTAGTAACTATGCCCTTTTTTCGCACTGCTGTCATAGGAAAAGGCTACACTAAGTCACCCCCACTGAAGAAATCCACCTCTGTACGAACTTGTCACTTAGCAGGGAAGAAGAGCAGAGAAACCCAGGCTCTGGAGCGTATTCCCTAGCTAAGCACCATGCTCCCGAGCAGATTCTAGCAGAGCTTCAGAGATCAGCCGCTGGTTTGCTGGGTGAGAAGTGTTTCAGTCTTTCACAAGGAGCTGACAGAGTGCACAGCACTTGAAGGGTTCTGCTTCCAAAGTGTTGGCTCAGCCTAATGAGGCATTTAGCTTTGGTGGTGAGGTTCAATCTGTTTCCTACTATTCTTCGTAACAAAAAGATAGCGATTTATTCCTCACACCCAGGCTGCTCTCAGATGAAATTCCCAAGCTCTTCCTTGCTCTGAAATCCCTCTTCGCAGTGAATCACTTTTACCTGGGTTAGAAGCAGCCAGTGCATTGCACTGTTCCTTGAGTCTCAGGAAGAGGGTTGCTGGAAAGAAATCAGGGCCTTCTCTCACTCCTGCCAGCTGCATTTTTGCACTTACCAGCTCGGTTGGTATTGCAGATCAGCTAAGGGTGGGGAATGGCCCTCACCCAAAACAGGTATTTCAAGTCTGCCTCTTTGCTATTAGGTGTACTGTTTGACCTGCTGTCCATGTCAGAGTCATATTTTAACTCCACTTTTCTAACCTCAGGAGTGTAACACAGAGAAATCTGTTGAAGGGCACAAAGAAAAAAAAAATCCCACTAAAAAGATGATGGGAAACATGTTATGGGAACACCTCTACAATTTACAATATAAGGCAAATAAGAATACTGCCTATACATGTAAAATTATTTATTTTAGTGGTATTAAATGTGTTTTGCCTAAAAGCACAAAGTTCTGCACTGGGCTGGAAGAGACAATGCATGGTGGAATTACAGTACATTTCAGCTGAAGAAATAAATAAAGTTACTCTGATAACACCACAATGCTGTTACTGCCTTGTCCATGTATACACTCTGCACACCCCAGAACATTAGCCACGTCACATTTGAAACACAGACGAAAGTAAAAGTAAGAAATAAATGACTCAATATTTTCACAAAAGCACTGAGACAGAAGAGACGGTCTCACCTGTCTGCTTTGCGACGGCAGCGCGGCAGGCTGCACGTGTCTCTGCATCCGATGTGGCTGCATCAGCTGTCGAAACTGCTGCTGGAGAAACTGGCTGTTGTTCACCTGCTGGGACTGCTGCATGGCTGCGGACTGCTGCTGCTGGAGATAGTGAATGAGAGACTGCTGCCCTTGTCCTGCTGTCAGAGGTGACATCTTTTGAGTAGCTGACTCTGAGGCAAAGTGAGACAGTGGTTTGGTGTTATTGAAAGAAAACTGCTCTTGGCTAACAGGACTCTCATCCACCAGACCCGGCTGTAAGCTACTGGGTGGCTGCTGCATAATTATGTTCACATTTTTGGTCTGGTTTGAAGTCATTGATTTAAAAAGTGAGCTCTGCATACTTGTGGGGTTGCTGGTGGGAGTGATGGTAGAGATTAATGTACCTTGAGGACTGAAGGGCTGCTGATGCAGAGCTGGGCTTGACAGCTTTTCTGGCCTGTATGGTGGAGAAGGTCCAGTATTTGTGGAGGCCATGCTGGCAACCAAGTTGTTCTGTGGACTTTTAATGTTGTTGGCTGGTAAACTGGCTGCTGTCAGAGTGGGCAGCATGGAGCTCTGCGGGCTGAAGGGCTGCTGGTTCAGAGCTGGACTGGAGAGCTTCTCAGACCCATAAGGAGGAGAGGGCCCATTGGATGGGGTGCTGCTGGAAGTCATGTTTGAAAGCAGAGTGTTTTGAGGACTCTGAATGTTGTTTCCTGGTAAATTATTAGCAGGCATGCCAGACACCATAACATTTTGAGGACTGAAAGGTTGATGGTGTGGGGATGATCCTGTCCTGTAAGGTGGAGAGAGGCCAGGGGGAGACATAGCTGGCCAGCTGGAAGCTTGTACTTGTTGCTTAGTAGTAGACACCTGCTTGCTAGCTGCCAGCTGCTTTAGCTGCTGAGCATGCCAGTTGGAGCCAGGTATGTTGGGTAAGGGTACCGGGAGCATGGGTGGTGGCTGGTTCTTGCTCTGAGCGGCTGTGGAGATGGGCGACACAGCAGGCTTGTTTGAGGGAGGAACTTGGAAGTTAGCTCCAGCAGATGATGGTCTCATCTGAGGAGATCCTCCACTGGCTGGATTGCAGCCTGGAGAAAAATCTTTGTTAGCAACATGGTTCTCCAAGTGGGAAGTCTGTGGGGAGGACTTTGGAGTGGTACTTATGCTGGGCTGAGAATGACTCAGCCCAAGTGGCTCTTCAGCCTTGCTGCACAAAATCTTCTCCAGGTCCAGGTCACTGGGAGAAGGATCAGGCATTTTTGTCAGCTCTTCCAATAGATCTTGCAGCTCTTGGTCCACAGACTGTAAGCTGTTTCCTTTCTCATCATAGTGGGCAATGTTATTGTTTTGCCCTCCTATGGACCCCTTCTGACTTATTTCTGCACTGGGTGGCACTGAAAACGGGGAACCAATGCCACCACCATTCATGTGATTGTTTTCGAGGAGCACTGAATGACCTGTAACTCCCAGGGAAGAAGCGCTGTGACTGCTGGAGAACGGAGAACTTTGCATTTCTGGACATGCCACGTTGGGGTTGGCACCCTGGCCCATGGCAAGGTTTACATCATCAAGGCAAAGTCTTTTACTGTCATTTGAGAAAATGACATCAGGCACGCCGCTGGAGGCAGGAGAGCTATCATCTTCCAGTTTTCTTTTAATGGATCCCTGTAACTGGGAAAATAAAAAAGGAAGGAGAAAGGATCTGTTATTGACCTTATTCTAGCATGCTCTGAAGCTCCATACTGTAACACTGAGTTGGAGATAAAGAAAATTAAATCATACAATTAAAAAACTAATAATGTGAGACAAATTCAATCAGGATTTAAGTGGGTGCAAATTCACTGAAATTGAAACAGTTATAGTCAGACAAAGGCTAAATGTCACATGTTGGCCTTAAAACAGATGTTAAAGCTATAAAATACTGTCTGTCATGTGAACCGTAATAGAAGTTTTTAAAATAGTCTCTGGTACCATTTCATTTAAGACATTATACTCCCTGAATAACAAACATGCCAACATTTTTATGGTAACATTTTTTAGGTCTAAACAATAGCAGATCTGAATGAAATCCTGGACTGAATTTAGTGACCTTCTGCCAGTGACTCAGATTAAATTCAGACCTGAGACAACTAAATTGTTTTATATTCTTTATAGGCAGAACATCTGAAATAACTGTCATAGTTTGAGAACAAACCAAACCAAAACAAATTCTCAACTATCTATCTAAACAGATTTTCAGGCTTCCTAATCACAGATGGTTTAGATTTCAGTAACCAGTAAATAACAGCTAAACCTCTTAATTTTTGTTTATTCTTCTAAGTCTAAGGCAGTATGGGGTTTGTTCTTTTGAAGGATTGCAACTCATTCATAAAAAACAAAGTGTTTTCAAAATACAATTACATAAATATCTTGATCTACAAGAAATGGTAGAGTTGTAATTCCATAAATCTTAGGGAAAAAACTGCTCTATACATATAAAATGAAACTGAAAACAATGTTTCTAATACTAACTCAGCATGATATGGAAATCTCCAAATACAATCATCTGTGGCTTTCAGTTTTAACAAGCATGACCAGTATGTCATAGGATTAATCAGACATTAACATTGCTGCTTCAAGTTAAGGGAAATAGGCATTATGTCCTTGTTTATCAATGGAGGGAGGCAGCATTTAGAAAACTATCTAATCAGCAATGGGAAAACCTTATAAAGTCACTGCTCGTCTAAGCTGGCTCACAACAAAGCCTCTCCCAGTCCTAGCCTACAAGTGCAAGTGCTGCCAGTCATCCTGTGCCATGAAAAAAAGTCACATCTAATAGAAGCTCCTATCACCAGAAAAGCCCTACTACCTAACGCCAGTGTAACCAGATCCACCCCAGGGCCGTGGTAGGTATCACCAACATCTAGATTTTACACTTTTAAGCACATCACAGTTTTGCCTATGACACCCTATGCAACGGCCAGCAACTCTGGTACTTTCAGACAACAGTGTCACAGGGCGGTCACCACACAGTGCACACAAGGTTGGGCACAACTTGTGTGGCTCCTTCTGCAATGTGCACGTGAAGGTCACTGTGCAAATGGCCAATGTCCACCCCTAAATTCAGCCTATCTTCAGGCCACTGACCACAGACACCCGTTGTTCTGACCTGGGAACACGGGGGAGCTGCCTGATGACTCATAGGAGTGCTCTCCCATCACTTATGTCTAAATTGGTGTGCAGAGAGAAGATTCCAGATCTGTGCCTCCAGCTGCTTAGGCTATAGGTGCGGTCTAGGACGAGCACTGGACATTGCCAGGCTGGTATCCAGCTTACACAGACGACTGGAGGAGAGCGGGAGTGTACAAGCTATTGCACATAGCCACCCGGGCAGATGGAAAGCAGGTTTGCATACTACACAGCGCTGCTGGTCCGGTTGTAGGAGGAGTTCACCCACCTCCATCAACAAAGCAGTTTTGAATGGCATTGTGGCAAAGAGACCTTTTTACACGGATACTTCCCCCTACCCCTTAGGAGTTATCCCTTCCTACAGCAATGAGTGCTTCTCTTCTGTGACCTCCAGTTGCATTGCTTTAACATGGGTTGCCCTCAAAAACCACTGGCAAGTGAGAACCAGCGCTGCACAGGGAGATCTGCTTTCAGTGCACCCTTCGCTGTTACCTGACAGCCATCTTCAGTCAGCGGAATCATCTCAGTGAGAGGCTGCCTTTACATCACAGCCAGAGACCGCTGAAGCATCAGTGATTTGATTATTCCTCTGGGCTGATGAGGCCAAAATTTGCTTAGCTTCAGGAAATGGATCGAGGCCTAAATCTTCTCCCAAGTGTTGGTCTAATGATGGATGAAATTGTTTTCCTTCATTTTCTTTGATAAAGCTAAGCCAGAGGTGCATGTTTCAACAGATGTTGCCCTGTGTAGGCTGAAACATGTTGGTAGAGCATAACTACATATATTTAAATCCAGACATGTATGGAGAATCTTTACAGGGGCTTCACACATCCAAAATAAACACAGTGTGTTCCCAAGTTGCACCCTGGGAACCTTCACGCAGGAAATGGTGGGGGATCTCCCATACTTGGCCAGCTGACATGCTGGCATGCATGTCCTTGCCAGTGCTTCTTTTGCCATAGGACATTCCTATGCTCTGAGTTACTGGGGGAAAATTTGGGTTTTCTAAACACTCTGAAAAATAGTTTTTAACTGATGCACTGGGGAGTAAATGTGATGGGAAAACAAAACTCCATTTCCCCAGAACTAGATATAAACAGATGAAATAGGGCCATAGCTTTCAGATGGCATGGGCATTCCAAAACTGGGTCAGGAGTTTAAATAGGATGCTGTTGCTTAGCCCTCGTGAGAAGCCTGGCTGTAAAAGCGGCACTGAAATTAGCTGTGTGTTATGTTCTCTTGAAAAGCAAGACTTTTTCCCAGGTGCATATTTGCACAAGGACCATAAAATCTGGAAGACCAACTTCCCCCAGTGCAGGCAGCTTTAACTCCACACAATTTAGTAGCATTGCTTTTGCTTAAGATAGATTTGACTACAGCCCCAAATTTGAGAGAGAAAAATACCATTCTTACAGTAACTAAACAAATCACAGAATGATTTTTGTCAGAAGGGAGGCCTGGGTATCATCAGCCCTCTGCTTCAAGCACATCACAATGAAAAAAATCAGATGACACCACCAAGCTGTGTGGCGCGGTCAACACACTGAAGGGAAGAGTTGCCATCCAGAGGGACCTGGACAGGCTGGAGAGGTGAGCCACTGCCAACCTCATGGAGTTCAACAAGGCCAAGGGCAAGGTCCTGCACCTGGGTCAGGGCAATCCCAGCACAAGTACAGGCTGGGTGGAGAGTGGATAGAGAGCAGCTTCGAGGAGAAGGACTTGGGGGTACTGGGGGATGAAAAGCTGAACAGGAGCCGGCCGTGTGCGCTGGCAGCCCAGAAAGCCAACGGTATCCTGGGCTGGATCCAGAGCAGCGTGGTCAGCAGGGCGAGGGAGGGGATTCTGCCCCTGTACTCTGCTCTGGTGAGACCCCACCTGGAGTGCTGCGTCCAGCTGTGGAGTCCTCAACATCAGAAGGATATTGACCACTTGGAGCGAGTCCAGAGGAGGCCACAAAGATGATCCAAGGGCTGGAGCACCTGAGCTGTGATGAAAGGCTGAGAGAGTTGGGCTTGTTCAGCCTGGAGAAGGGAAGGCTCCGGGGAGACCT